CCATTTAGATCTGGTTTTGACCCAGGTCATTGAATATCTTAACAAAAGATCTAACCAAAAATGGAGAAATAGAGCCGGTAATGTTCACAGACAAGACGGATCTGTGAGAACATGATAACGATGAGGATAAGCCCGTTATCCAAACCCATCCTGATCTGCTGGGTAGCAGGACACATTTGACAGCCACGCGCTTCAGCACATCGTGGTGTCACATCAGACATCACAGAACCAGCAATGTCACATTCGCAGGGACGAAGGTTGCCTTCTGAACAGCAGATATTTAGACAGAGCTTAGAGGCAAACTGCACACAGGGTAAAAGCGCAGCATGCATTTGAAAACACTGATCTGCAAGTGTTGAAAAGCCATTTGGGGGAACACAAGGATGTATATTCCAATAGTTATATACTTCTGTGCATATCCATCTATAAGTAAGTGAGGAAAAGGCTCAAGAAGCAGCAAGATGCATGTTGGCGGGACAATCACTGGTACAATGCCTCGAAGCCTGGTATCAACGCCTCAACAAATACAGCAGTCAGAACAGCAGTGCAGAACCATCTTTGCACTTCTGAACACGAGAAGAAGCCTGGTTTCTTTTTATATGGGAATTATAAGAACTTTGGTGCTAGCTGGGACCTGTTCTTTACTCTTTACTACACCACGTAGCTCTGAAGGACTTCTAAGAAAGAACATAAGGCAAATAATCAATCGGCCCACATCGATTTAAGCCTTTCTCTGTTCTAGCGCCCGCTGACAACTTGTTGTTTCTTCACTGGAATAAAGGGAAAGAAGTTGAACAAAAAGACAGTGTCTGACTGAAGAAATCCAGAGAGCTCCCACGGAAAAGCATGTTACGTGCCTCCTCAAGGCAAAAAAGCAGCAGTGTGTATGGCAGGCACCTGACTTAAGCACTCACAGCTTGTAGAACACAGCCATTGCCCAAATTCTGCATGTTTGGGTATGCAGCACCTGGACCTGGGCGTCATGAAGAGCACGACACCAGCCAGAACCTCAGCACCCATGCAGCAGTAAGTGACACCTGCAGTGACTGCACTCCTGAAATCTACACCTGGAATTATCTGTAAATGAGGCGTGGACTGAACTGACCGCTACAAATCAAACTGCTACCACAGGTTGATGTGATCTCAGGACGGCCCATGTTTGTGGCTATCACAGCTGTCCCCAGAACAGGACCTGTATGTATAAGAGCACGTGCACCTACGAGATGCACCTGCAGACACGCACAGCAAGGTGAAGTTTCTGCAGCACTCAGATCGCGGCATAAGAGCCCTTCCACAGCACAAATGAGCTTAGAACTGCAGAACAAGCAGATTGCAGCAGCTGGGAATCTGCTGCACAGAGGGCAGGGTGCACAGCTTTGGAGAGCCAAAGCCTTGGAGGTATTGCTGGGAGAAGGCTGCGAAGCTGTGCTTTGGATACGTTCACCCTGACTATCAAAGACCTGAAGGAGCCTGACAGCTTCACTGCAGCCCAACTACAGCCACGGAGCTCTCTTTTTCTTCAGTTATTCCTGTTTCTTCACTGTCATGAATCACGTTCAAAGGCCAATCTTTAAACCATTCCCCCCCCCCCTTTCTGATTTCATATAGTCGGAGACAGCCACTGGCAGGCTACCACAGGAGGTGGATCTGAAGAGGGAGGCCAGTTACATTTTGCAATGAACTGATAAAAACAAATCAACCACAGAAAAAAATTCCTCAGCTCATTTCAAAGAACAAGCAAAAAAAAAAAAAAAAGGCTTCAAGCTAGATCTCTTCTTGTTTTGTTTTTTTTTTTCCCCCTTCCTCTTCCATCACATAGATTTCAGGGGCTGCTTTGAGTGCTTTATTTTAGCGAGGAATAAAAGTCACTGCTCCTGATAGATGGCACTGCTCTCTGCCCTGAAGACAGATCGATATTACAGATCACAAATAAAATAGTCAGAAGGATTGAAAACAGGATTTACAACTGAGTAGCTACCACACCTACATGAAAATAATAATTTACATTCCTTACCACACCCTACAAACTACACACGGGCAGCCTGAAACAGGAAAAGTCACCAAAATAATGGGAAAGAGCAGCAAATTGCGTCCTGACGTTATTTGAACTGATATGAAAACAGCTGAGGGGAGGGAAGTATTTCCTCTTGAAACCAAACAAAATAACCCAGAAGCCTTCAGGGGGTTTAGAGTTTCAGCCTTTCTTCCTGAGATGAGAATCCCCAAATCCACCCGTGTCTATGAAAAGCAGCCGCTTTCCATAAAGAACACCTTCACTGAGAAGGAGTTTTATGCTAAAAATCAGCTTTGATAGGGCAGCTTTATCCCAACTCAGGTGCTGGGGGTGGCAGGAGCATCTGGCGGGCACAGAAGGGGGACTGGGGTGTGCAGAGGCAGGCGATGGGGTTCAGGCCCTGCTCCTGCCTTGGGGGAAAACTTCCCCTATCCCGGGGCTGCAGAAACAGATCAGAAGGGAGAGAGGTTCACGATTCGTGTAGGAGTCTTGAATAATCTGTTCCTATTTTAATGTGAACACGGGTGGTAACATGGAATTACAGCGCGTGGAGGCGGGCTGGCGCGCATGGATTAATGAAAAATAATGAGATAATATGGAGCGTTTATACAGCCTCATTAGGAGGGCTGGATTTCTCTACCAACAGAAATCTCTGGGAAATGTTGTATTCTGATACTTCATCCATAATCTCTATGACAGGAACGAAGAGGACGCAAGCTATTTCGTGAGCGTATTCATTTGAAAAGAGCTTTCATTCTTAGCCTTAATTTTTAAGCAACCCAAGTACTTACATGCTAATCCCTTCACCTCGTATATTTCATTGTATCCGGGGGTAGCATGGCTCCTGAGGTGCTCTGCTGTGAGAGAAGAATAAACACTGATAATTGCATGCTGGAAATTGTGACGTGCTTATGTGATGCATCAGAAGAGACAGAAACGAGCACCGAAGGGCAGGAGGGTAAAGCCGAGTTTACTGAGGACTAACTGCATTAGGATTGACTAAAAAGAAAGAAAAAAATATCAAGCCCATTCAAAGTGCAACCCGAGCAAAATTTATTTTTAGCCCCTCAATTACTGTGAGTTTCATAATGCGATTTCAAGGGCCTTCCATTCCCGCACACGAACACACTATTGTGCTCGATGCTCTGCAGTGTCTTCGTGGGCAGTGATTCATTGTAGGGCTGGGATTTAGCATTCAAGTGCAGAGATGGAGAAAGCCGACTTTGATTCACCGCTTTCTAAAAAAACACAAATTCGCCCTCGGATGAAGCTTTAGTAATTTCTTGGAAGTACCACATGAAACTGGAAATCTTAGAGCCAGGGAGGTGGATGCCAGGAACCAGCACATGGTATCTGTAACGGGGAAAACCATTTCGATTTTGGTGGAGCCGCAGAAGGCACTTGTCAGAACGTGCTGCTCCCAGCTCCCTGCAGTTGTCACCACCTTTTGGTGACCAGTTCCAATGTGCTGGGCAGGTAGGTTCAGAAATATGTGGCTTACCTGGTTATTAGACTGATCCTTGAAGGGCGGTGCTGCAGTTCAGAAGGCCCACTGCAATTACATCGTTAGATCCAGTAGAGAAGTCACGGAGAGAGCTGTCAAGTATTTTGAAACCAGTTGCCTCCCCTACCCCAAATGAAGGCGTGATGACAGCAGAGTATGCAGACATCGGTTGATAATCAGGGAAGTGCTATTTTTCAATAGAGCAATGGCTTTTTCCAGCAAAAATGCTGCAGGGAAAGGATTAGACGTGATTTCCTACTGCTTAAATAGAGCCAAAATGGTGAGGGTTGACCTTGAAGGGTGTTCTTGAGAAATAGGCAAGGACAAACTCTCACGTGACTTGCACCCACCTGTACACACAAACGAGAGAGAACGCTGGACCTCAGTGACTACCAGCAGATCTCTAAGACTTCATTCTTCCCTAGTAACACAAGGTCACGCACAGACTCTTACAAGTGTAGACAAACGACTCACTAGCCCTAATGATTACAGCTCATTCAGCTTCTGCCTAAGGTTCCTCTCCTTATCTTCTCCAAACCTTACCCAAAACATGTGCAGTCAAGGAAAAGATCTCCACCATATGTGTAAGGGGTCAACCCATCTTTTCAGCCTTACAATGGCACAACCTAATTCCTATGCATCGAGTGTTGGGACTGTCAAATTACCTGACTCTTGGGTCCTTTTGAAGCAAAACCAAGGAGCTGGCAATCCTGAGTGAAGGAAAACAAGGCCATTCTTCTGAGAGAACGTACATCAAGCAAACTTAAAAGATTAAGTTCTATTCAGATGGTACCTGAAGCATTTTCCTTTCTCACGTCAATGATGAACACTTTTATTACCAGGGAGAGGCTGGTTAATCTGTAACCAAGAATTTACAATTCTTAAAACAAATAACCGAACTTTTATTCAGGAGAGGTGGGCTTTTTGGCTTGCTTGTTTGTTTTTTACATCATGAATGCCACCAGATTGACAGCCGTGTTACAAAAGTAAGAGTGAGTTGAGCAATGTGAACTGCCCAATAAATCCATACTCATAAGATGGCCCCTGGACGCAGCACATGGGAACTCAGCCAAAAACCAAGGAATCAAAGTCATTCCTTAAGGGATCCGAGCGTTTTTCAAAACAAGTTGGACCTCAGGCCACTAACTCATACCAAAAGCATGGCAGCCCAAGCGTCAGGCAAGTGATGCCACCATATCACAGAACAGCACCTGAGAGGGAACGCTTGTCAAACTCTGAAAACTTCATGTACTGAGGTTGCTGGAAAGATCGTTAGCCTCCATGCACATCAAAGTGGATCTTGGCCCCATTCCCTGGTCTCATAACCCATTCTCATAACCCCAACTCGTAACTCATTCAGCCCCTCCACTTAGCTAATAGGATTTGTTACCAGGTACGAAACGTGATTCCTTTGAGTGCAAAACTGCCATTCCTGTTTCCTGCTGAGAGAAAGAAAAATGTATGCATACACTTCCAGAAAGCTTGAATGGAAAACCCTTTCATGTCAGAAGTTTATTTTTATTGGTAAAATATTAAATAATATACAGAATTAAAAACTGCACTTACACTTCTGAGAAGAAATAATTCTTGGACATATTATATGCTTGTTCCTGAGATTCCCTACATTTATTCCAGTAGCTGTGCACTCAAGACAGTACAAACCTTTATAATATAATCCTTTTCACAAAGTATTACAAAGTTTCTGCAGCTTCTTTTTATTTATACACACATACAGACTCACACTCTCACGTGGCTGCACAACACTCACACATGTACAGAGCACACACATACAGACGTGGAACCATATGTATGCATGTAGACTAAGGTGGAAAATAAAACCAAAATAAGTCCCATAGTTCAGTCTACAGCAGTGAAACTCTTTAGCAGAGGGATATGGGTTTACATCGGGGTTGCTCACACGCACCACTGCAACAGTGATCATTTCTGAACTCCTTTACAAGAGCAGGATGTTCCAATTTCCAAGAAAAGCAGCGGGGCAAATCTCAGTGTGTTCACTGCGTTTTGGAGTAAATTCTGTTTTTAATTTCATTTTTTACTTTTTTTTTAGAGTCCTCAATTTCAGCTCAGAACATCGGTCACAAAACTAAAAACCCTGGCCTGGAAGCAACCAGGACCAACATGGAATTCGGCACCCGAGTGGGCAGAGAGCAGCTCCCCATGTCACAAAAGATGCCGAGACAAATGGGTCAAGATCTGAAATTATGGTCACGAGATCTTTGCGCTTTGCTACAACCCCACTGCTCCAGCGTGGTCCCTGTTGGAGGGGGAACCTATACAGCCTACAGCAGATTACCAGAATTTGGCCCTAAAAGCGTGAACCCGTGGGCAGTCACCCACAGAATGCACTTTCCTTCTTCAGCTCAGACAGCCGAGCCTGGGGAAATATTTTGGCAATCCATCAGAATGAGATATGGTCTCCTCACCTTTGTTATTTTGAAAAAGGAATATCTTAAATACAAATTTAAGAGACAAAAGTGGCTCCTGTGCATGCGCAGCAACTGCCTTTGCAAGAATCTCAATGGGGTTTTTTCTCTTTTTGTTATGTACCTAAATACATATTTACAGAACAGCGGTTTCAGTCTACCAGGGGAGAGGGGGGAAAGAGGCATTAAAAATACGCTATATATAAATATGTATAGTATGTAAAACAAGTCCCATCTAAACATATATAAGACAAGGACAACTGTAAAGAAGCTTTTCTGGTCTCTCAGGTAGATAAAGGACACAAGTCCTGTAATTCTTACGCAGGCAAATCTCTCCCACTAGAGCAAATGGAAGCTTTGCCTTAGCTAAGAGCTTAGGCCTAATCCAAAATCCATCATCAAACTCAATGAGAGTCTCCACTGAGTGGGTTTTGGATCGGACCGAGCCATCTTTTTATTTTCTGGTATTTTTCCATAAACATCAATATTAAGTGCTTTTTTTCTGTTTTTCTTTTTTTCTTCTTCTTTTTTTTTTTTTTTTTTTTTTTAAAGGAAGAAAAGAAAGCTGCAATTAGAAAAGGAAGGAAGAGGCAAGAACACATTTGTCCTCAGTTCAGACCACTGGATGCGTTTCAGTGCCGAATACAAGCAGAGTTAAGGGCTGGGCTTCTGTCTTAACCTACAGCTTCTCACTTTCTGTCAGCCAAAATCGGAACTGATGTACTTATTCAAAACTTCTCTTTGAATGTATTTAAGATAGAGCATTTTGCTTCACTGATTTGCATTGACTGAGGAAAGGAAAAGGAAACCATAGTACATTAATAAGACATCAGGGGAAGTATTGCACTTGAACCGAAAAGTACCCCTAAAAGGTGGTTTTCTTTGTGACTTTCTTTTTAAACTAACACAAGCGAATCATCCATGTCTGCAATGAGCATCTTTAGAAAGCAAGACCCAAGAATGAAGCATAAGAAGGAAATTTGGGGTTGATAACCCCCACCCTGGAATACAACAGTAGTAAAACTTTTAAAGCATTTTCTTCCAACAGGAAAAAAAAAAACTATATGACTTTTTTCTTTTTACTTTACAATGTTAAATCTTTCTAAACATTTGCATTAAAAGTTTCCAGTTTCTCATAAAAAGATATACATTTTAGGAAAAAAAAAAAAATAAACCAGAAAACAAAAATAACTAAAAAGGAAGGCAAATATACAGTATCATAATTACATCACTGCAAAGTCACCTCTGAAGGTACCCTAGGTCTTTAAAGTGTTACAAAGAGTACGTACCTTAATATTTTTTCTCAATTCAACTATGTTTTTTTCTTTTTCCTGTTTTTAATATAAAACTACACTTGAGTACAAAAATATGTAAACAGACTGTACAGCCAATGAACAAAAAAACACACACACACAAAAAAAAACCCTAAACAGCCCCAAGCTACAGGAGATAAGAGCAGGCCCAGACTTAAAGCTAAGAGAAGGAAAAGGGGGAGAAAGAGAAAACAACTGAAAACCAAAGGAAACTGCTACATGACAGAGGAAGGGAACACGTTCAAGCTCTGAGAACACTTGACAATTAGTCAAAAGAATCAATCACAGTTTCAGAATCTGAACTACAACAAAAAAACAAAACAACCAAAAGTCCTTCCCTTGTTACAGCGTGCTCAGAAGCGAACATCCATTTCCAGTAAGCAATGTCAAATCCCAGTAAGTGCATAGTCGGGGATTCAGTGACCTCTACCCCTAAAAGAAGCTTTTCTTATTCCACGTCACTTGAGGTAAAGCTAAATGGCCCAATTTACTGCAAACTGGCCTCTTTGTGCCAATAACGGCATCATGCTCCCCTCTGCCTCGCAGGAGGCTCCCATATTTCACATCAGTGGACAACGTGGACTGCAGGCTGCCAGCACACACAAACTGCTGGGCAGAAAGGATTAAGGCTGCTACAGACACACCTGTGGAATCGCCTTCACCCGCTATTGGGTGCTGCTGACTGAGAGCTGGTGGAAATTGCTGCGCTGTACCACTCAGCAAGGAAAGCCCTAATCTAACACGTTAAGCACAGGGTTAACTGTAAAGCTTTTTTTTTTCTTTCTTTCTTTTTTTTTTCTTTTTCTTTTTTTTTTTTCTTTTTTTAACTGTAAATAATATTAGGATGGTCACTGCTGCCCACAGAACAGTAAGTCTCACGGTGCAAAGGAAAGGGATGTTGCAGCAGGAGAGCATAGGCAGCTGTACTCCCAAACAGGGATCCACGTGAACAGGGCAGTAACCACCATTCTGAGGGCTGGAAGTGAACTGAAGTAACTCGGATTGCTGCATGAGCCTAAAACAAGAAATTGCCAATGTTCTTCCTGGCTGATCCTTCAGCCCTTTTCTTAACGGGATAAAACAGAATACTGTCACTACAGAGCAAGTTCTGCCTCTTCTTTCCCTGATTCCTTATCCATCCTCCCACCAGGATGGTCAGCCCCAGCAGACACGTGCCAAGGAGCTGGCACTAGACTCAACTTGTGCCAGCACTCACTGATGCTGCAGGTAAAATAATCAGGTCTCAAACGAGGTCACCAGCCTGCCAGGAAGCACCAAAACAATTCTGCACTTCTCATCCAAGCATGCCAGCTCACAAACCCATGCAGAAGGGAGCAAGCTCCTGCCTGTCTCCAACACACACCTCTCCCATAACATCACCCAGATGGGTTTCTCCTTGCTCTGTTCCAACAACAGGGGGGGGCACTGGCATCACGGTCTCATCTTCCAACGCTCAGTAGGTTGGGACCAGCCCTATAGACCAGCTCCAGCTGGATGCTGGATGCATCTGGCCAGCATGATTGCAGCTCTTCTCACTCCTGCAGCCTCTTCCTGCACACCTCACAGCTAAACACTAGCACAGCTCCCTCCCGACCCAGCAGTCTGGGATCTGCCTTGCCCATGGTACAAGAAGGGGTTTTTACTTTGGGTTGGCTCTTGTCGTGCATTCTGAAAGGGCAGGGCAAGATATCATGAATGACATCATCAACTTTCAAAATGCGTTTCAAAAAGGCACGTTTACAATAAAGCATATATCTAATTATATAATACCATATATATAAATATACTTTCCCAATATCTCCAACTGCTCTAGACCGCAAGTCATTGCTGCCATCTATTTTTGTTTTTAAAGGATACTAAGCCAAGCAAGGATGCACATTTCCAGCATCAAAGTCAATTTCATCACCCTCTTCCTACAATTCCCTCCTTGAGTTTAGTTGATTCAGGTAACGGTGCAGCCTCCCTTATCCCTCCTTATTACATTATAATGCACAGCAAGAGTTAAGTAAAAGGAATATTACCTCTTGAAGGATCTGCATTAGCACTGCTCCTGTCCTTGGCTGAAGTAAGCACCTTTCCCTACATTGTCTCCAAAGCTTTTCTCTGGAGGAAGGACTGTTCTCTGTCATCTTTCACAACGTGTTCTCAAATAAGAAAATATAAAAAAACAACAGTTCAGGACCTAGGCAATAGGAATAATACCCTACTGAAGGCCAGTTTTCAAGGGTTTGGTTGGGTTCATGGCCTTCCTCTTCCTCCTGACAGCCCCAGTTTAGGAGTGCCTTTATAAACAGAAAGAAATTTGGGAATTCTTTAAAAATAGACAATTTCTTCACCAGTAAGTAAATATACAGTACTTCCACATGGCTACTCGTGAGCTGTCCCCTCAGACTGCAGAAATTACTACTACAATTAAAAAAAAAAGGCCAGTTTACAAATTCAGATTCTTTCTCTAATGTGGACCAATAGCGGATAAAGCCCACACACTTCTCTCATCAATTCATAGATGGAAGCACTTCTTAAGAAGAATAAAATTATTTTAATCTCAGAAGTTACTGAGTAAAGAGTTGGCTTTGCTGAAAAATGCTATATATTTTGATGTGCACTCCAAACTGGCTGCAAAGAAGGGTGGCTGTAAAATCCATTGACTGTAACAGCAGATATATAGATAATGCCCTTTGCTCCAGGAATATGGATCACATCAAGAGCACAATAAGCAGCCATGCTTCTATGAGAATTAATAGGCTTGTGCTACTCTAAATTGAGTCAGAATCTTGCCATTTTAGATGTAAAAAGAAATGAAAGGGTTTATTGGCAGGGATGTTTGCAGAAATGGCTTTTTTTTTTTTCCTTTTAATATAATGAAAATGAGGAATGTTCAGGAAGCCAATTCTGAATTTGCAAACGCACGTCCTTAACTGGAAACCTGATTCCAAGAATTTCAGGAGAGGCCAATAAAAATCAGCCAGGTTCGATTTCAAACACCAAATACTTAGAACAATTGGATGTGCAGGCCAAGGATTATCTACTGAAATTCCTAGTATGCTCTGAATGACTAATGAAGTTGACAAAACTCAACAGCTTTTCTTAGAAAAGCTTGCATTGCTTCCACAAAGGGGCAAAATGACTTATATGAAAACTCTCCATTAGTTTTCCCTAGGCCAACTAGGCATCTGCTTTTGAGGAACAAGGGATTGCTCCTTTCTCTCAACAATAATGCCAAGTGGGAACCGAAACTAAAACAAACAGTAGCCCAAAACTTTGTTCAAAACTCAAATTGGAACTTGATCTCTTTTCTTTCCCTAGTTCTAAGATGAAAAACTTCACTGAGCCTTCAGAAAAGACACTGATAATAGAAATTAATGCAATCACTCATCTTCTTGCTCTTCAAAAAATGAAGGTTTTGGAAGGCAGTTTTATCAGTGTGTCCCCTTCCTCGTTCTCTGCTCCTGTAGCATCAATACACAGTACTTCTCCCATACAATTCCTGCATGCTGCCACTGGAATCAGGAGTTGGGCTTGACTGAAGCCAGCTACAACACCGCTGCGTCTCCCTCTCTGATGACTGAAGCACTGACACTGCAGGAGGCACCGATGAACCATCAGCAAATGAAAGAGCACTCTAACAAGCTGTGGATATAATTGTGAACAAATTATTTGTGGATACACAAATGATGCTCTGCCTTTCCCCAATCCCTGTGCTTTCCCAAGCACAGGCACAATTTTTTTTTTTAACACGTGTCTCCTATTGCTAACTCTCTGAAAAATCCAAAGCCCACGTTCTTCCCACTAACCAGAGGGGAGAAAGGACTGTTCTATCTCCCACGGACAGGAAGCGATCCTCAGATACCCTTCTTTTTGTACAGGTGAGTCTTTTCAGAGCTCCAGGCAAGCCCAGGGACTTTCAGCATCATCCCCTTTGCACAGCGTTCCTAAACACCCTTTGCTGCTCAAACAGAAGTAACAACTGCCTCCCCCCAACCCCTTGTGACATGCGTTAAAAGCAACTCCCTTCTGGATTTCCAAACATCTGATGATGCAGAGCACAGCTCTTAAGCCATCTTCCATTGCTCCAGTGAATCAGCCATACAGAAAGGAAGCAATGCCCTACAGCATCTCCATTTTCTCCTGCACCAAAGTCGTTTGATTGCACCAACCATAAGAGAATGAGAACGGCCTGGAGGATGGCAGCAACTTTCTCTATGTTACAATAAGGAAAGAAGGGAGGAGGAACCCAACAACGTTAAGAACAATGTTGGGAATAGGTCTTTAAATCTGTCTCCCCAAAGCCCATATATTCCCAGCCTTGATAGCTCTCACATTACATCAGATGACATTTCTCTCCATATTGTATTATAATTAATAGGCTACTGCAAGACTTTACCAGCTCCTACTTAATAGCATTTCAGTGCTGGGAAGCAGTCATCAGGTAATCTGGCCATGATCTACTGTATCCTTTCTAAACACAGGTTCTGGCTGCCAAGAATGTCACCATAAAAAGATCTCAATCGATACCACTCATCTCCTACTTTCAAATACTCCAGGTCTAGAAAGAGAAAGAAAAAAAAACCAACACAACAAAGCAGTACCCTCCAAACAAAGAGTAAACTGGCACGTGTATGGTGTACGCAGATTGAAGTGAGCAGATGGGAACTCATTATGGCCTGATCTTGCTCCTTCTCTTATACTTCAGTTACTTTATATTTTGGAGCAGGTCTCACTGAGCGCATGGAGACCACTTGCATGGAGGGGGTTAAACTCATGCAATTCTTTCCATTCTCAAGCTGTGCTCTTGTTGCACGACAACAACATTTCACTTGTGATTGGTACAAACAGTTGGGTTTCAATGGCAATCTGTCACATAGGTTTAAGCCCAGTTTTTAGCTGATGCAACCTGCGACTTGGGTGGTTGCTGGCTTTGTTACTTTTGGGGAGAGAAACAAAGGAAACAAAACACACTGGCGTGTTGGTTTTTTTGGTTGCTCTTGTCCAGTCTGTAGGGCAAGAAATTGCAATGGAATCTGTTTCATTTGTTTTCTATGCAGTGAAATAAATACATTTTGAATAGAAACGAAATTTCAATTGAAACCAAAGCACAGAACCTCCATGCATCAATTGCTGAAGATGCAGGGAAGGTCATACGAGATCTGTGTGTTTGCAGAGCTGGTGTGCTCCCCAAGAGCAAAGGCCGTTCAGCAAAACCTGTGCTTTCGCTCCTATGTTAAAGGACAGTTGATGACATGAAAACAAAAGGAAGTCACTGGTTCAGCAAATAAGATGTCAACTACAGAAAAAAGTGATCAAGACTCAGATTCTGATGTGGCTAAAGTAGTCGGGGGAGTTCCATTAAAGTCAGTGGAGCTAAGAGGATTAATGCTGGCCAATGATCTGGCCCCTAGTTCTTTCTCAGCTGCCAGTATTAGTTTAGGCTGTTGCCTGGAGGTTAACACTGTGACAATAGAATGAGAAAGTAGTTATATAGGTGTATATAGACATATAATTATATTAAATGAACACTTTGCTAGTAGTACTTTTGTTATTTTCAACTCTGTCATTTTAAAATAGAACTATTTTAGAAGAGCAGCAGAACCTCTTGAGTAAACTACAGACTCTCACCCACTCCTAGGCCAGTTACGGTCCCAGAAGCAAGTTTAAACATTATTTGTAAATTAGATTTTTTTAAACCATAGGGTGTATCTAAATAATTAAGGCTCCCAAGGGTCTCTAAGAAGCCAGTGAGTCAACACATAGGCATGGAGTAACAGCAAATCAACAATTCTAAAAAAGGTGCTTTGTAAGTTAAGGAAAATAACAATGCAGAGCCTCAGACTTACCACAGAAGGCCCTCAGACTTACGAAACTAAGCTGCTGTTATGCAGTACAGTGTTAAGACTTACGTTTCTTTGCTTTTTTTCTTCTTCTTTTTTTTTCCCCTTTTTTTTTCTTTACATTCTACAGGGGCAGTACACACTGCATCCAGGAAAAAAGCTCACCCTAGAAAGTAATTTTGAAAGGAATGATGATTTTGATTGATGCTCCTAAATCCCTAAGCAGTTTTCCTTTAAAAATAATTGTTCATTCTGCAAAATAAGGAATTCCAGCCACCGAAAGCCCACACCATATCTGCACATGTAAAAAAAGGCTCTCCTCTGAAATGTTTCTGTTTGTCTGAAATTACAAATGAGTGGCAACTCGTCAAGACTTTAAAGCACCTAGCAGGGTTGAGCAACATCCCAAAATAGGACATGATATACAGCTGAGACAGAAACAGACTGCCTTTCAGCTCCCACTAGAAACACATCAGGTCATCCCCCAACAAGTGACAGCAACGACAACCCCCCCCTTTTTACCCTTTCCCTTCCTTCTTTCCATTCTTAAGCCGGGCAAAGCAAATGAAAATGAGTCCACAAAAAAATAAGGTTAACAATAATATTAATTAAACAACAGCAACAACAACAACAGCAACAACAACAACAAAACAGGCGTCTCAATGTCTGAGGAAAAGTGGGACTGTAAGTGCAGTATTTCTTCATGTGCAGTTCTTCTACTTCATAAGAGTCCCCTTTGGATGAGAAGGCCTAGTGGAATGTGTGCTCCCCTCGAACAATGTGCGATGAGAACTCATAGCGGTCCTGGCTTCGGTAGCCACAGATGTTGCACTCCAGCGGGTCCCGGTAGCCGTGGCAGCCCATGTGGATGGTGTACATGACGTGGTCCAGGAAAAGAACGCGACAGTGCTCGCACTTGAAAGCCCTGATCTGCTCCCCTTCTCCATTGATGACCTTGTAGATATCCTTTAAAGAGCCCTTAGAAGCTTTTGTGGCATCCAAAGCCTTGGCATCCTCCTTCATATAAGCCGGGCTTGGCTTCCTCTTGGGGTTTAAGGCAGAGTTTCCTTGGTAGGACTGGCGGTCTTCGTGGCTGCTCTCTGAGTCAGTAGAATCCAGGCAGCTATTGCTAGGGGAGCCCTCTCTATCTTGGGTTCGACTCTTTGGTCTGATGAGGGAGATCGGGCCATCCATGTTGTTCTCGTGACTGTCAGCTGTTTCCCTGCTGATGGGCCTTTCTATCCTGTTAGGATGATAGACCTGAGCATAAGGTGAGCTGCTGACCGGAGCCACCTCAGCAATTGTGCTTGGCGTGTGCTGCATCAGGGGGTGAAGTGAGTCAGCTCCAAGGTAGGCGATTGCATTGTGGATGGCTTGGTCCATCATTTGAGACTGTATCAGCTCAGACTCCTTCTCATAGGATAGGTTCATATCAAAGTGAATATCTGGATAGCCAAGTCTCATGAGCTTTTCACCTAAGGGACAAGAGGAAATGAATGAGAAAAATCCACGCAGTCACTCCAAGGTTTCACTGTAAAAGGGATGAAGGAGGACAGAAAATCTCAGCTTGAAGCAAAAGGCACTCCAGACTCCAAAGCTGGCCACAGAATAAAGCAAAAAATGTGAGCACCTGACACCTTCTGTCCAAGGTAAAGTACTTCTGCTGCTCATCCCCTTAATAAGAAAATACCTACTCCCAATTGGAAAGAAAAAAAAAAAAAAGACAAAAAAGCCCTGCATCTGTTTAGGCAGGAAAACACAAAAGGTAAATGACACAAATAGCTCAGTTTCATTTGGCAAAAGGCAGAAGTGACCTTCATTGCCATAGGATAAACACACTTAGAATGACGATGAAAGCTGACTGATTCATCACTGTGTGAGTCCGAATTCACATATTTTCAGTGGCATTACAGATACATGCAATCACAACCACAGACAGGTAGGTTAAGCTAGTTACAGCTAGTTATGATGCAGATTACAGATTTCCTTTGAAGTTCACAGATTTGCAGCTGCTTACATCGGGACACAGCACAGCAGCACTGCTTTTCCAGCGATGGCTTTAGAGAGTCAGCAAAAGGAAAGTTCATAAAATAACTTCTCTTCATTAAACAGAAAAGATTGTATGCATAACCATATGTCTAAGATACAAGATACACACTCACCCGCATGTGTTCACACACGTGAACATTAGTTAACAGTTCATTTTTTAAACTGATTTTACAAAGTCTGATAAATAATTTTGGTGGGTTTACGCTCTCTTTGTTACTTTTCACTGCCTCAGAACATAAAACCACACTTTTCTTCAATGGTGTAAGCTAATTAATTCAGGGAATCAATGCATATAACTAGTTAGGCTATCCAAGAACTAAGAAACCCAAAAAATCTATTACCTTTTGCCAAAACTGCTTGGAACAAAGCATGTATAAACCAACATAAGAAGGAAACAGAACTGTAATCCCAAATCTCTTCCAAATAGCATTAGTACATTTCAACATAGCTATCATTCAGCATTTTATTTTAGGCTATAATAATTCCTTCCATTTAGTGCGGCTTATCTTAAACTGATGCACAAAGAGAAATAATTTTACATTACCTGTGAAATGATCAGGTTATCTTTGGAGATGATGCATCCCTTTTGCTTGGAAACTTAGCCCTGATTAGCAAGGTAATTAAATGCAAGCTTAAAGAAAAGCACGTGAATATTCCTGGTCTCTTCAGCAGTACTGCTCGTGTGCTTGTGATTAGATACCATATTTATATATCTAGATACGTTTCCCTAAGGCTGGCTGTGTTACTCTTGCAGCTCATAGAAAGAAAATGTAACATAGAAAACTGTTTCTTTGTCATACTTTAGACATTTGGAAAAAAAATACAGAAAAACCAAACGGTCACAGCTTTAGTTATTTAACATGGCTTAAGGATGACTCTTGCCAGACATCCTCGTTTCAGTACAATTATGGCTGTCCTGCTGCCAATAGCATGGATGACATTTTAGCAGTCCAGTTCCACTTGAAATGGAACAGCTACTTTCCCAGGTGGGATGGGAAGAAAGAAAGCTGCAGGAAGCACGTGGTGTCTTTGGCATGGTGGGAGAAGGAAAAGAAAATGGCAAAGCCCATCAGACCCTGTCACCTGCTCTGGTCACCCACATCACTCCTATGTTTGAACAAGGAACTGGATCCGAGGGAAGAGTTTGATCCATTCTCCAAACATGGTCTCAATCCTTTGCAGACTAGAGAGATCAGGAAATAACACTTGTCCTTTATGGATGGCTTGGATGAATGATGCAGACATCATTTTGATTCCTTTTTTTCTTCCACATTTAGTGATTCCACCAGACAGCAGAATAAATAGTAAATTGCCAGTGACCTGAATTATTCATTCCTTTAATTATGTTTCAAAGATGTCAGAGCCTTAAAAAATGGCATGACACACATAAAAGTAAAATAAATGATAACGTGGGGTGAAGAGGACATAAGATACAGAGCTCAGAAGATATAATAGCAAATCAATCTAATATAGTTTTCAGTTTTAATTCCTCTTCAGCCAAACCTATACTTAAGACTAACTAATCATTTTCATCATTTTACATTTTCATTCCAAACTATGCTTATATTCTGCATATTCTTGTCCTACATTACTGGAGTGGAAAAAGAAACACACTCTACAGTGGATCATCTTGTGACACTCAAAACAGGTTTCTGAAGCTCAAGGGTCAGAGTAACGTCTGTCCTGTGATACCTGCAGTCCATTTTGTCAAGTATCCACAGCAACTGCAACATCTGACACTCTGGAGAAAGCCATAAGAAACCCTGGAAAAGCCAGTTACAGTATTTACCACTGGGTAAGTTTCTTTCTGACCCTTGGAGACTGCTGATCAGAAAGAGCAGTAAAGCATCAATAGATGTAGCATGCAAAGATTTGAGCTCATGCTTACATGACCTTCTCATAAACACCATTAAGTAGTTTTGGAAGGGTGCCCGATGGATGCACAGGAAAATTTCCTGCAATCGAGAGAACCATTACAAGTTCTTCCTGATAGAGTTGAACAGTATTTCACTGGGGAGAAAATGGGAAGAAAAGTGAGGTCACTGTGAAAAAGAAAGGTAGCAAAGCACAGGCTCTGCTGGCTTTCAGCTCAGACACTGATGCCAGGAAAGATCAGAAATGGCAGAAAAATAAGATACAGTAAATATGAAAGAGGACACCTTCCTCTATGGCTGAATCTGGATAAAAAGCTGCACGTCACGTAGAACTCTGAATTCCTAGCCTCAGAAAAATGGAATACCAAGATGATAAATCTTATAAAAGAAACAACTTCATCTTACAACAAAGAAGGGATTTCCAATTGCTAAGTTTGCCTTTCAAGACAGTAACAACGTATGACCATAAGCAAACGAGTGGACTCTTCTTTTCTGGTCTAAAAGAGAGGCTGCCATTTGCAACTTCCCAGAAAGTGGTTTTATTTATACCTCTCAGTTGTGAGGTACACTTACAACATGCAAAACTATACTGCTTATGGCAGCAGCACGAGTACTCCAAAGCAAGGGGGAAGGAAGAGGGCCCCCACACCCTCGCCAATGAATTCTGTACCCTTGCAAAGATAACCTTTAAGAGGTACTGCAAATATAATTACATCTAAGTCTGTGCACAACTAAAGGGGAAAATAGAAAAAAAAAAGGTGAGGTGTGAACTGCCCTGCTTCCTTTCTGGGCTGTAAGAGGTCTGAAGTCTAGCGCATCAATTTAAATGTCAGCACAGACAACTATTTCACCCCTGATCACAATGTGCAGGGAAGCACAGCACTTACTAAGACAACACCATGGAAATCTGCCTGTCTACAATCTCTTATAGCTGGATTTGGTTTGTCAGTAGAGAGTCCTGCTCCTGTTGTCAGCCTTTTCAACCCTAACTTGCATCACAGCAATAAGTTAAACACAATACACACCCTCCAGTTCGTACCAGCTTACAGTAACTCATTTCAGACCACTCAAAGAAAACAAATTAAGAATTAAGCTTTTATCTCAGGAAGACTAATAACAATATAGAAAAGAAACTGACGCCTCCTAGCATTCTTTGCATGGGTTGGATTACTTCTTACCAAACCCTGCCAAAGAAGGTGCTGGAAAAGAAAGGACATGAAAATTCTTTAGTTGGTGCATGGAAGAAATCTAGCACTTGTATTTTAGGATGGCCAGCTGACTGTGAGCAGTCAGGTCAGTGTGTCAGTGGCCCCAGGTGAGATGCTGCACGCTGTTAGCCCTCTACAGTTCAAAGTCATGTGGTTAGCTTAAAACCATCCTGAGCAGTGATTTAACAAATCTGCCTCAATCTCCGTTTAGCCAAGGGGCAATGACTTTTCCTAATGGCTGTCTTAATTGCCTACAGTCCTTCAATCCTCTCCCCGTAGGTGTCCTCAGTTGTATGCTCAGAATGAGTATACAACACCCTTAAAATCTATATGTTGTCCTTCTAGGGAGTGAGTGGGGAAAACACACATTACCTTAGCTCAGCATCTAGCAGCACATACTTAGCCCAAATAACTCTGTCCTACCTCACCTCCTAACAAGTTCAACAGTGCCCCAGTGATTGTGAAAAGTAGATTTAAGCTACAACTCAACACCAGTAACATTTTCCATGCCGTAGAATCATCGAATCACTCAGGTTGGAAAAGACCTTACAAATCAAGTCCATCCACAACCTAACCGTACCATCCCAACTCTAACAATCCTCCGCTAAATCATCTTCTTCTACGAGCTGACGGATTTTAAGACGTCCAGACACAAAGCAAAGTAGGAATTCTGGGTCTAGGACTCTAAATTTGGTAATCAAAAATGATCTGACACTGTTTTATATTCACTCGCTAAGAAATGTATCAGGTGCAGAACACTGCAGTTGGAGAAAGCGCTTCTTCTAACAGGAGCAAAGTGATTTTGCTTCCTTATGCTGGTTTTATCAGACCAGTTGTTGCTATCTCTCAAGAATTATTACAAGTTACAAGTCATGAAATAATATTTTTTTTTCACACACACATATGGAGGCAGATAATTACGAGTCTTACATTTTTACTTGCTGAGTGAGGAGAGGGAAAGATGACAAGCCTTTGTCAAAAAGACAAAGGGTCACGGGAAAGTTAACAAACAAAACAAAACAGACTTAAGGCACAGTAAAAAGCTCTGGATTTTCTAAGTCATTTTTATTATTATGGGGACCTCACTTTTGAATGGTCTGGACTGGCAAAACTAATTCTATTGTTTTCAGAATTTCTTGCTGTGCTTTAACCCATCTCAACCGTTGCCCCTCCCCACCACAAGCATGTTCTGAGAGTGCTACCTTTCCCCTCGTTCTTTTTTTTTGGGCTATCTTTCACAAGTTACTAGCAACCTACAGCTACACTCTAAAAATAATAAAAGGCGTATCTCAAGCTTACCCACAAACTTCTGTGGGGTGGAGCTTTTACGCTTTCCCAAGTTGCTTGTCAGCTTCTCTATAACAGCAGGTCTCTCAAAAGGCACCATAGGAATATTGTTGTCCATCACAGGCTCTTGTTCCTTACAATCTTCCATAGGAGGTACTACATAAAACCAAAACATTGTATCAGACAAGTCTGGTCTACACTTGACAGATGACACAAAACATTTGAGCTCTGCTGATTGTGCAAGAAGAGCAACACAAAATAAAGCGAGATGCAAGAACACAGCGGGCATTCAGATTGCACTCCCCTTTGAGCAGGCAGAGCCACACTTTTCCATCGCCTGTCTTGGGGAACATTTCATTTTGCAGAAGCTACACTTGATGTATAATAAAGGACTTGTTTTGTTCCGAATACAGAAGGTCCCACTGAGAAGAAAAGAGAACTACTGGTGCTGGCACTTCAGAAAATTCCCTCTGTAGATCACATTTTCTGTTTTCCTCCCTCCAGCATGATCCCATGTTACCAGTGTAACTTTATGGCTATCCTTGTGGATTCACTTAATATCACTTCACCTTGTTTATCATTCTTATCTTCTTATCACACTGATCTCAATGACTAGAAAACATACAATGGCTTTGCATTCCCTAAGACAGAGGCTTCCAAAACGAAGACCGTATTTGTTAAGGTTTCCTTTGTTTCTATATATGAGACTAATTTCACCACACATTGCGCTGAAATTGCAGGATTAACATTATATGGAGTTTCCCTTTAGAACCAGTGAAAGAAACTAACAAGTTTCCGAACTAAAGCTTTTTTCCCATCAGAGGGGACCTAACGATTAATAAATGCAAGTCTTTTGCATCTCTCCTCCCACTATTTGCAACCTCTTATGGACACCACAAGGATCAGTGGTACCACGCTGAGAATTAAGTTCAGAAAGCCTGAGTCATCCACCATACATCTCAAGTGTGATTCCATATGTAGCTCTTCCCGCTGCCCAGCAGCACATTGCTCCTCATTCTTCTTTAGAAAGTAGCAGGACAACTCAGAGGAGGATCATCAACCACTGTCTGTGTGCTAATGAGATCGTTAAGGTACTACAGAAAAATTATTTGAGAGTGAATAGCAGAGAAATAGGAAATTCTTGTGATTTGGAGGCTGTGAGCGTCCCATCCCATTCTCTGCATTAGGTACATCTTCCAGTGAAGTCACAGCTGCTATTGCAGGGGTAGTAGAGAAAGGCCAACCTCCATATCTTCTGCTAGTTCTCTCCCACTGCTTCTATTGCAGCCTCTGGTGTCATTTCTCATTCAGTTACCTTTTCGTTGTGATTATGAAATGAGCATCACCAGCCTGCTTTCCTCCCTCCCATACAACTTGACTGCCTTCAGGATCCTAATACAGAATAATCACTCATCTGTTCTTAAACATGTAGCTGTTTGCTAGCACATAATACATGAAAAATGAGGTGTTAAAAGCCTCATCTTTGCCTTCTTTCTGGTAAGGAAGAGCAAATACCAGGCAATCACAAAACAGAGTATCTGCTCAGGTGAACTTGTCAATTCAGACATTCATAATAAGAAAACATAGCAATTTATTCATTTGATTCCATTTGTGCCTCTGCTGCTAGAGCAGGCTGAGTACTTTGAGTTTTAGAATCTCCCATATGCTATAAAATGATTTACTGTGCTGCTTTTTTATTTGTACAGGATGCTCCCCCTGAGAAACACAATAGTTTCTCATTTACAAGGCAGTCCTGCTGGCATCAGTGAAAGAGGAAGAAAAAGCATAAATATGAAACGAATCAAACATTGCAACAAACTGGGATGCAGTGTTCAAGTGACCTAAGTAATTCCCAGTGCAGTGTGGGAGGTCTGAAATATTATCAGTGATATGGCTAAATTCTGAAGGTTGTGCAAACACTCTTTGTCCAGAGTTATCTGCACTAGCTCTACTCAAGTATTCATAGAGATTTTATAAGAAAGGAATGATTTCAGCTGTTGATTTTCACTAGCAACTGGTGTCTGACTGTCCTCTTAGCTTAACAAATAACTGTGTGAGAACCCTGGTTTCCTGCTCAGTGGCTGTAATTGTCCTCACTGTGATGGGACAGGTTTGGACAACACGAGTGCCACTTCAAGAATTTCCAGTCCTTGGCATGCCAGATGCACAAGACTTGAAGTAGGAACCTAAGGAGGTGCAGGGGGCTCTAAGTATCTCGCATGATGACCTGCTGCCTTTGTAGGAGTGTACCTGCCCACAAAACCAATTGAAAGCCTAATTACTTCCATAGCTATCTGATTAAGCCCAAAATTTAGTGACATTTGTATTTCCTATACAGATTAATAATGAAATAATTCTACTGTTTGGGCATATGTGTGCAAAATTTCCTAGATGGAATTTGAAATCTTTCTTCCACAAAAAAAAAGAAAAAAAAAATAGTGCTAAAAAAGACATCTGTTCTTCTCTGAATCAGGCAAAAATTCTGCTCGGACTTTTAAGACTAAAACCATCACCAATAAAAATATTTTCTTTTCTATATCGTGTGCTGTAAACTATTTCCTGCCTCAGAACTCATCTCCATAACCACTCAATCCCACCAGTATTTGAGTTGAGGTGAGAATAAGTTACCAGGATGTGCAATGTTACATAGATTTCCTGGGAAGGAGGAGAAATGGGAATAGCCTAGGTGTGCTTCATTACCTTGGGTAGTAGGAGCTAGAACAGCTGACATGTCATAAGTAGCTATGATACAACTACTTATTTTAACCTATAAAATTATGGTGTCACCTCAAGAAGACTTCTAATCCAAAAACAATGCATCCAGCTCATTAAAAGCCCAACACTGAGAATGTTTCTGTTAAAGGATGCTTTCACTCTGTAATCAGGATGCATTGCTGGATGTTCACTCTCCCTGACATAGCTGATGTCCTCAACTGCAGTTAACATCAAATGGTGTTTTCAAGCTCAAACTCTCAATATGCAAACTTGGATGGTCTCCAGAACAAAGTCTTCATTTTTCTGAAGACATCAGCGTTAAGGTCGTGAGGATATTATTCAGTTTTTTCTTCCTCATTTGCAAGAAACCACAACATTCTGTTAAAAAAAATAAAAAAAATTAAAAAAAAATTCATGCTCTTCCAGTGAGGAAAGAATTTGGGGAAAAAAAAAAAAAGAAAAAAAAAGGCCAAAAATTGCCCAGCATGTGTTTTGCTGATAAATACTTCTGTGTGCAGACAACTTTTGTGTGCTAAGTCTCAGCTGGTATAAATTAGTATTACCCCATCACCCTCAATTTCCTTTCTTAAGTTCACAATATTGCTATTTTAGAAAGTGTATGTGTGTGCACTAATAACTGACAGGACATATTCCCACAGACCCTGGTGTGAAGTACCCCACGGGACAAGCATTTTAACTACATTTTAAGCAACTAAGCAAGAGGAAAGGACACAGGGTCATTGTGTATTTTGTGTGAGTTGGCCTTTGAGCCTCTCACAGCCTAAGGCCAAGCTCCTTTCTCCTTCTCTTAAAAAGAGCATTTTTCTCCACTTTATTTTAAGAATTTCCCTGGACTTTTTGCTTTGTGGAGATGAATATACACATATATATATATATATGAGTAAAAAGCATTGAGTGTTTCTCCCTATTCGATAATGCAAACATCAGACACACTGCCTTCAGAGGCTGTCATTTTCATCACCCCAACACACCGCTAACTACAAGACCACACACTAATTTCTACCTCAAGGGCCAGAACTTCTTAGCTGAGAACGGCTGACAACATCAGAGGAGCTCTCTTGCAGCAGACAGCACGTAACTGAGCCACTGTGCTGAGCTGGGGACAGGCCCCAGCCACAAGGAAGGGCAGCTCAGAGAGAGGATGGAGGGAGACCCAGCGCCAGGAACTTGTGCATTCCTACCCACATGCTGAACCCAGCCTCTCCCTGCCTCTCACTTCCCCTTGTGCCTTTGATCAGGTGACCCAGCCGTCTGCAAGGCAAAGATAATTCAAATCAAAGGAAATATTTGCAGCGTGCCTATAATTCGATCAACCAGAGTACAATGTTTGAAAAGCTCCCATTTCTCAAAGGGCTAAGCAAGCTCACTGGAATTAACCTCTGCAACAATAATTTAGAGTGATCTGAAACACCGGCCATAACAGTTTGAGACACAGCACAGCCACCTACACCCTAAAAGCAGGATGCCAGCAGGAATGAGAACATCCCCACATGCACCTTTTCTTCACGTTATGCTGTTAAAGGATTGGCCAGGAGTTCCTCTGCCACGTTTCCAGAGGCATACGGATCCAAGGAACTCATGCAGCACGTGGCTGGAGAAGGTACTGATCTCAGCTGAGCAGGCCTCAAAACACTCAGCAAAACCAAAGTCCTCACAAAGTATGTGGAAAGAGGGCCAGGTAAGCTAAGCACTAACATGATGCAAAATTAAGCAATAATTGATATCTGCAAAGCACATATTCACTCGACCCCAAGAATATCCTTTCAAAGTAAGACAAGAGTGAAGAAAATTGAGGCATTCCTCAGTGTTAGCCTAAGCCTTAACTTTAAGCAAGGAAAAGAGTAATCATCTGTGCAATGCTTTTCTGCTGCCTCTGTGCTCCTTGGAGAATGGACTTACAGCACAACTGTACAGCACACACTGAGCTTCCCAGGTGGGAGCACTGGGATGTGAGGGGAGATTTATCACTAGCACCCACCTGGATCTAGAACTACCTGTCACTGCCAACTGCCATCATCGTACCTCCTCTAACCGCCAGGATGTGAAGTCCCTTAAACATTTGCCAGGAGAGATTTAGTCACGTTTGCCAAGGAGAGAAATAGGCACTAGTTGAATTCAAAGTGTTATTTTAAGCTAATTTTGCTGGGGGGAAAAAAAAAAAAAGTGATTGTCTGAACATTCCTATTTTAAACCCAAGCAAAGTCAGGTTGTAAATAAAATGGATTATCATATTGGGTTTCCACTGGTTTAACTTTGACTGTTAGAAAAATCAGTGCAAGGTCAGCTATTCCAACTTCTCTGGTTGGACGAGGTTAAAGACTTACCCCTGTTGTCATAGCATTGAGCTGCTTAGAAAAGGCTTTAGATTTCCTCAGAAGCACACTAACAATAGTAAACTCATTTACAATAAATTAGTGAAAAATAAATCTTGAAATTGAGCAGAATTTGGGAAAAAAACTCCATAAAATAATCTCTGGAAGATTCCTACTGTCATACTTCCATTGGCCAACTGTTATTTCCCTAAGAAAATGCAGACTGGTATCGTCAGCTACCTGGTTAATCAGATAGGCCCACCCTTGTAGAGGGAAGAGCACGTATTTTGTTGAAAATGGAGCACGTGGTTGCACTACTACTGTCAGCAAAGTGCTCCATCAAGTGCAGAACAGGTACCTGGAAGCAGCAAAGCCCTAAGATGAGTCTTTCTACTGACTTTTGCAAGCATAAAGTCAGGCCTAACGCAGATAATCACTAACTTCAAGGTCTCTGAAGTCATCCATTAGATTTTAAAGGTTGATTTTAGTCATCTGAAAAAGATAGTAATTACTTAATAGAGCTGTAAAAACATTTGGGGTTATATGCTTTAATAGATGTGAAATTTTCACAGTAGAGCGTTCTAAAATTTTTGGTGATTTCCTTTCCACCAAAACACAGTCCATGGTAGAAAGGTTGAACAGATTTCATTTCAGTTTGGCTTTTTTTTTTTTTTTTTTTAGGTTTTTAGAAGCGACCTTTCAGAACTTCTACATAATTGATTTCCAAATGACGCCACACGACTATTCTCTACAATGAAAAGCAAAATGGAAAAAAAAAAAGTTCTTTCCCTTTTTCATTTACCTACTGTCTGTCTTCTTGATATTCTCATGTTTGTGGCATTTTCTACTCGTAATGGAAAAAAGTATATATATATTTTTATATTTCCTCCGCAATAAGAAATTATAAGTACTTGGAGTGCCAAATATCTACAGTTAATTTTTAGAAGTTACAAGACGTTGAGTGCCTGAAGCACTGATTTTCAATGAAAATAATTTTCAGACAACTCTTTTTATTTGGCACTACAAATATACCTACAACCTTGCAGTCAGATGTCATGCTTGTTTCCCACACCAGTAGCTACAGAAATGTTTGAACACAAATTCAGGCTTCGACATTTCTTGCTTTCAACCATCTTTTTGGCAATCTTCAGTATTTCTGTATATTAACACATGTAGCGTTAGCACAGTAACACTAACAAATGCAAATGCATGAACTTCTTTTTATATAATTACTTTCATCATCATCGTTGACTTCACGTTGCTCTGGAGGTTTTTACATCCCTTTTTCTTTTTGTTTTTTTGATATAATATATTACTATAAGGAATAGAAATAATGACCTCTGAGTATGTCTACCACCCTTACTTCTTAGAAGTACCAGTCACTTTCACCAAGGAGAGGAAGAGGATTCATATATTGCTTAGTTTTTATGGCAACTTTGTACTGGTGCCTTTACCACTTTAATGTCTGCGTACTTATATACCTAAAAAATGAAATACCAAATTCAAAAAAAAACAGCAAAAAAAAATGCTGTTAAACCAGAGTGGGGACTTGAAATCATCTTTTCTCCTCCTGCCAGAGGAGTGCAAGCAATAGATTAGATGGAAGCGATGCAAAGCACAAAGGAAGGAGGAAAAACAGATGGAAAACCCCCATAAGATGTGCTCCAAGTGCGAGCGACCTCAAGGCATGGTGTCCACCCACCGTGGTGACTCAGGACCTGCCCGGCGGCCTCCATGCCCACATTCTGCATGTAGTTGTGGCAGCGCTCCTTGTGCTCTTCCAGCGAACTGCGCTGCTTGTAGCTCCGGCCACAGTAGTTGCACTTGTGAGGCTTCCCCACTGTGGAGAGAATGAGAGTGTCTGGTCAGATCCACAGCAGCCCACCTATGCTGTCAGCGTCACATCTTCACAGCAAACTGCTCTTGAGATGGAAAGACAACTAAGAAAGGTTACTCAAGTCCCATGCCTTCTTCCCAGCCCCGTTTCCCCCACGCACACACCTCCCACCCACTGGGTACTTGGCTCCATCAGCTGTTCACACTAATGCATGGTATCTGCAGAAGTAACAAGAGGTGGACTTGCTCATCGTCAAGCAAATAAACAAGAGGGGAAAACAACCCAAACAGTTGAATCACATCCCGGCACTGCTTCTGTGTCACTGAGTCTCGTGGGAAAGAAACTTCTGAGGTGTTTTGCCCGTGGCACGAGCAGCTGCTTTCACAAAATTGTGTTGCCCCAGTGGCCTAATTCTGCTGTGAGCCGGGGAAACCCATCTCATGGCACAGAGGAGTTCTCTCAGCGAAGCAGTTTTGCCAAAATTACCAAGGGAAGGTTCGGAAAAAAACAAAACACAGACAACAAAGTGACGTTGGTAACGGCCCCTGTTCCACGTCAGAACTAAGCTGTCCCCCGTAATTCACAGAGACCAGATAATATTTAAAAAAAACAGAGGAAAAAAAAAAAAAGCTGAGTACAACAAAAATCAAGGCAGATGCATGCAAGATATAACGGCATTTTCCTGTGCGCGCTTTTCACTCGGGAGCAAAATGAATAAATGGCAAATGACTCTTAACGCACGCAAAACCTGGCACCAGATTCCCATAAAGTACATCCCTTTCATAGCATGTCATTAAGAAACCACAAGAGCAGTCTAACCCAAGGCCAGAAGCTAGCCAGAAGTACCGTTTGCCAAGCCATGCTAATAAAGGTTTTTAATATAATCCCAACTTGAAGAACACAATCGTTTATTCTCTAATAACTAAGGAGCTATTAAGTCAGTGCTACAAGTCCAGGAAGACACCACAGGCTGAGACTTTCAGAGTTGGCTGAGGGATGGGGAAAGTCAAACTTGACAGAGTTTTCAAAATCTTAGGTAAGAATTTTAGTTTCCATCCAAAGACATAGAGAATATCCTCTGTTGGATAACATGCACGTTTCTATTGGGTTTGTCCCAGTCTTGAAAGTTTTTCACTGTCATTTACTTAATGAAATCCAAACTGGACTACTGACAGATAAACATTGTCACTCCTAGGCAACCTTCCTACCATTGTATGACAGACCTGGGGCTGCTTCAGTGCTGGGGGGAAGATGTAAGGGGCACAGTGGGAGGGTACACATAGCCAACAAGAAGTTGGACAGGAAATGTTTTGTGTTAGCTTGGTGTCAAATCAAGAAATCTAAAGCAGCTGAAGGGATTAAGCTAACAGATCCAAAAGCAGGGCTGAATTAGACCACCCTGTTTGACTACGCCAGGCTTTCAAAGTCTTAGGTGAACCATAAGATGAAAAGGAAATGTGTGATTGCTTTCAGCTACTCAAGAGGTAGATGCTATTAATTAAATATATTATCATCTAGTACAGATAAACACATTATCTTACCAGCTTGTAGGAGAAAAAAAAAAAAAATCAATTAAACAATAAAAAGCTGATATTACTCCTCTTCAAATCGCTGCTGCTTGCATTGCAACTATTTCACAAGCTATTCCTAGACAACGAGGCTGAGACCTTTCCCAGTGATACCTGAGACATACAGCTACCCAAATCCCATCAAATTTCAAGGTTCACAAGAGACGATAAAAGCCAATGACAAAGGCAAGATTTCTACATGCAGTATGGGATTTGAGGAACGTAACTCCCCAGGGAAAGAAATACTCCAGCACATGAACTCCTTCCTCCAGGGAGAGGACAGGAGAATAAACAACACGTGACAAATGTTAGCCACGTTGCCTAATACACAACTGGAAGCTGCTCTAACACAACAGGGGAGAGCGAAGTTTGTGAATTCCAACTCAGCAGACTTGAACGTAACTCCCTCGGGCTCGTTTGCAAAGTTGGTCCCCCGACTCTCCCTTCTCAACAGATATAATTACATCATAGCCTAGACACGACACAGGGAAAAACTGATTTATTCTATAAAATTACACAAAGCAACTGCAACTTGGATTGTGCCCTCGATCAAGTCAGCCCCCAGTGGGAACAGGTTCCAGTAGTTCATGTCACCAGCAATGCTCACCATCTAGCTGGTGATGAACGCAGCTAGCAGGGGAAGCAGCTACGGTCTGGATTTTAGGAACCTCACTGCTGTGACAAATGGCAAGACGTGGAAATAGTCACATATTCTCCCTTCTGCACTTACCAAAATAAGTCATGATAAAAAATACACGTTTGTGGATCTGAACATTGCCAGCAGGTGTACATTTTTCCATTTTTTGTGCTACACAACATAAAGATGTAAAGGCGTCTTAGAGAACTCAGTTCCAGTGATCTTCTCAATGGCGCATTTTGTTCCACGCAACAAACCACCAGATTAAACCACATAGCTGCCAAGAAACATTTCAGCCTTTGTCAGCGAAGGTATAGTCAATAAATGTTAACAGGCAAAAGTTGCCCCCAAAACAACAGCTGTGCTCCTGGGCACAGGTTCTGGTCTTTGCAGAATTCAACTGCGCTATAACCACCAAAAACCTTCTCACGCCCACACCAAAGGCTGCTCTTTCATTGAATTCTTTATGGAGCCATCCAGTGCTCAGCTCAGCTTTAAGCTAGTTTCTCCAAGCTCCTGACCAAGGGCCCTGTCACACAGACATGGCGTTTGGTGTATCATTGTACCAATGGCAGTGGCACCTAGGAAAGGTGGTTTGGAAGCCTCTGGTTTGGGGTAATTAATCCTGCATCACCTTTAGATAGAAAATTACCATCACTCATTCTCATAAAAGTGACACAATACAGTGAATGCAAACAAGCCCAAAATCTTGAGAAATGTTCAATTTGTCATTGAACTGGGAAAGACCAGGGCACTGGGTAAAACCCAGCGGCCATATCTATGAAAAAGCTGACTTGAATACAAAAAACACACCTTATTTTTCTTACTTATATGTCAGAGTTTCCACACATTTAAGCTCAGATTCATACAGATGACAATGTGGCACAGAAAACCCACAGTGGAGTCTCAGCCTCAAATGGAAAATATTATGACAGTTACACAGAAAAAAGACATTTCAATTTGAAGTAGACTTTTTACCATGAAACAGGTAAACCACTCGCTGAAATTCACAGAGCAACGGAGTTTGCTCGCGAAACGAAAATGTTTGCACGCAGGGAGGTCTGGAAAGAGGAGGAGGAGACAAAGCGCTCAGGAGTAAGGAATATTGGAGTCCTTGTGGGTGAACTTTGATAGCTGAGAAGTGTGCAAGCAGCAACAATGAGATGGTGCAACACTCAGGTCAATATTCAAGACAGAAAGCAGACTCGGGCCTAGGGAAACTGCTTTTAAGTCATAAAAGAAGGTCAGTGAAAGAGAAAGAGCCCATAAGGCATTCACGCAGCATTTTGTTCTCAAAAGAGATGGGAGTATATAGCAGAATATAAAGTAAGTCAAAGGGAAATCACAGGGCATCCCAGGTAATACTTTGCCATGAGCACTCGGCATGAGAGAGGCCTACGGAACAGGTTAAGAGCAGCGATGCTCTTCATCGAGCGAAAACCCTGCCTCCATTAACACCAATGGCAAAATATTCCCTGGCTTCAGCAAGCAGAACTGACTACTTCCACATTTCCCTGCTTTGGGTAGCACACTCTCCTCTGCAGCAGCTTGGAGAACGATTCCTTCCTGTCTATCTGTCCAGCTCAGACATTAACAGCACAGGTCCTCCAGTGCAAGGAGTATTAAAATGTTATAAAGCCTTTACATTGAGCTTTCTATCAGACTGGAAACTGCCCAGGATGGGAGATGCTCTGCAGATAATAAAGTACCTACCACAAAGGAGCCTTGAACGGGGCTTAATATGGCAAGATCAAATTTTAACACCAAAGCAGGAAATATGATTAAGGCTCTAGGTTGGGACTAGGGAGCCTAGGGTTCAATTCTTAGTTACACCACAAATTTTGTGACTGCAGGCAAGTTACACTGATTTCCCATGCTTCAATTATTCATACATACGATTAAGGTAATAATTCTCTTCTTCTCAGCATGTAAATGAATTCAGGCACTTTGTGAGAGACACAGAGGCTAATTTGGTGGAGTTCACACAAGTAGGTAGACATAGAAAAATATGGTCCATATCTCTATTGAGAAATTAAGGACTTAATACACTGATTTTATTAGATATGGGAGCGAGCATAAAAGAGCAGAAGGAGATATTTAGGATGGCACAGAGTAGAGGCTCAAGTGGGAATAAGAAAATCAAATTAGAGAAAAAAGTTGGTGGCGTATTAGGCTGCTTGCAGGCACGGTATCCTTCTGGGCTGTGAAATGATCAGCCCAGAGAAAGGTAGAATGACCTTTAGATTTTTCCATTGCTTTTAATGCCATGGAAGACAAAACAGAGGACTGGGGTAGTGCTTAGATGTTGCCAAAAGAACTGAGGCAGTAGAGATGCGTTGATGAAGCACAGTCCATCCAGTTCACAGCTGTAATGTAACAGAACACCTCGCGTGTCCCAGAGCTGCCTATCCCAAGGCCTCTCACACAAAATATTTACATAAATAATAGACTTTTGAACGAATTAATTAAAAGAAAAAGTGAGACCTAATCCCATGCTGGCTCTGAGCAGCACGTAGCTTTACAAAGGAAACTGCCTCCCACTCCGATGCTGCATCTTGCCGCTGTGCTTAATGACTGTAAATGTGTTCATTGAAATTCATGAAGGCTCTTTGATTTTTCTTTTTACATTTTAAATTTTTTTATATTTTTTTGCCCAGGAGATTACATATAGACACAAAATAATCAGCACGCACTCGAGTTCAGAAATAACAAGTCCCTCAGCTAATCCAATATTGTCCAAGCCAACCTGCATTCAGAGGTCACAAGATGTAAACATCTAACGTAAGTCTGCAGAGCACACTGACACACCAACTTGTGACACTCAGCCTTGAGCACCTCCATCTTTGAGTGCTCAACTTATGACATCTTAAAGCAGCCTGATTTTCAGAAATAACCCATTCTATATTCATATTATGGTAACTTAGCTGTAATCTTTTAATGCTTGTCAGTTCTGACGGGAGCAGCAACACCTGGGGTACGTGCCAACGTCTCTGCACTGGAGTGGCAGATAAATACAGAAGTACTCTGCTCTACCACTGGACTTTAACACAGCTCTAAAATAAAAGGCTTGCTTGCTAATAAGCTGCAGATTCACTGAAAGGAAGCCTCCTCTGATTTCTTGATGGGGGGGAAGGGAGGAAGGACAAAACGTAACAACTTGGTTACGGTAACTTTACAAGAGTTCCTTCTTCCAGCTCTTTGCCACCTCCAACAGCTGGAGGAGTTCAAGTCATATGTTTTGCTTTTTCTGACTTTCAGAAAGAAGAAGATGCTGGTTTACTTCTTAACAATTGACTTCTGACAGAGATGCAGGGATCGCTGTGGACCTCCTGGGGTGCTGACGTCTCTTTTTTCATCTTTTAGGCCAAATACTAGAGTGTATGAGGTTGTGAGAACAGACAGGTCATGCAGGAGAGGAGACACCAACCAGAAAGGTCTGTGCTTCAGGATGTTTCCAGGCACTTTAGAATCCTCAGTGGACTCAAAATACAGCAGGACAACAACAGAGATAGTTCACTTGATTCACTTCAAGACCTCAGAGCCCACGGCCTCTTAGTACACATAATCCATCGCCTATCAATACATATACAACTATTCAAGATAGTGTGAACCTCCCAGCAAATGAAATACCTTTTGTCCTTTTTGTACAGCAGCAGTCAATGGAAAGTTATTTCTGTCAACAGCTACCCTGTACTATTACAGCAGCCCTAGCCAGCTAGTAGCAAAACACCTCTGTACGCTTGTAGTACATCAGCACACAGTAAAACAACGGCAAAACATTACACCTACACACCCTTTGTTTTCTAGGCACACCTGTCTGTGCAGTACATATCTCCAGAGCACAAAACAGCTGCCTGACACCTGCATCCACCTGCCAGTTGTTTTTGGTGTTGTACAACAAGCAGCTAGCAGAGCAGCGCTGTGCTCCTGACACTCAGCCCTTCCTTCTGTGACAAACGGTATAAAATAGATGATATATAAGCTCCAAGGACTTCATCCATGCTACAAATACACGTGTGCACACAGAGAGGACAAGCAAACACACCTATCGATGCAAACTTCCAAGTGACTACACCTTTGTATATAATGCACATAGGCCAGAGTGCAGTGTAAATCAAGAGTACAACAGCTATAGTACTGGGATCCTTATTTGTACCTTCAGGTACTGCCTGCAGCCTTTTATTTCTTTAGTAGCTCACTGTGATTTATCTCACAGTTTCTAGCAGTTACTGGCTCTGCTATTTAATCTGATTCATCAGATTGTGTTTATTTATTAACTGATCTGCACAGTTTTACAGATAAAATAATGTTCCAATCTGCCACGAGGGTTATAAATAAGCAGGCAGTAGTTTTTGTGCTAGAAGCTTAACAAACAAACAAACTCCTGTTTCACTGGCACTATCATACAATTACTGAAATCTCCCTAACCATCCAGACCAAACCATCCTGTCACAGTCTCTCAGCACCCATTAAATAAATTAAAAACAGAAAAGCAAGAAGTTTGCATGCCAATTTCTTCCTTTGGAGCACAGACAAAAGCAGGTTCCTTTGAAGGCCTGCATGCTGCATCTGTGTGGAACAATGTGTGAAAATGGAAAAAAAAAAATAATCCATTTGTTTAAGTGAAACTACGCTAACAAATGAAATACTAAATCAAGTAAAATGCAGGTAAAGGACACCGACTTTGTACTTATTTCTGAAAAGGACAAAATCCCTGGTTACTTGATCTGAATTCATGTCCCATAAAACATGTATTGCAACAGACAGAAGCTCTCATCACATTCTTCTCTTGACTTAACTCTCTTACCTTCAAAATAAGAGCTTCAAAGCCAGCAGAAAGGAGCTGACGCTCACTTCAGTTGGTATTAATGGCAACAGAGCTCTCAGATCTCCCCTCCATTTGGAAGTCTCAGCACAGCTGTTCTGCTCTTGTGCTGTGAGCCCAGTGTCCTCGTGCCACAGCAACGTGCCCCAGACCTTCCACGCACCCCTGGCACTTAGCAGGGGTGTCTCAAAAATTTTACAAGGATTCTGAAACGGTTAAACACCATTAAAAAGAAACACGTGTTTAAGTAGCACCGTGGAGGTGAGATAAACTAGCAAAAACAAGGAAGACTACAAATAACTGGGCGCTTTTATCACTTTGCCAGCTTTAAAATCACTTAAAGGCAGCTAGGCTTACTGCAACTCACTTGTAGAGGGTAAGAGGTCCTGCGACATATACAGGAGCTCACTGCTGTAGTTCAGTGGTCTGCTCTGGCCAGGAATCTCCTCCTGCAGTGCCATCTCTATACCTGGAACTGGGTGGAAGCAGGATGGAGGTTAAATCTTAACTGCATTTACTAGCTCTGTACTTTCCACTCCACTTCAGACCTTTAACATGATATTAAAGTCGACTTGATATGTGGAGCATTCATCGGTTTATGTAACAAACCTTCCAAAATACCCTCTTGAGTTCAAACCTGCTCCAGAAGCACAGCAAAGAGGAACAAGGAGAACACATTTAGGTGGCTCTGTTGTTCCTCCTCTGCCCTGCCTGTGCAGTGGCACAGCTAAGCAGGAGCAAGAGTGGGTTCCCCATGCTTCAGTGGGAGTCATGCCAGGCAGCAGCGGGCTCCAAGGGGAGAGGAGCAGCTCACAGCCCAGCGCAGGGTGTGGATACCTCAGCTCAGAGCAGGAATGCTGCTGGACAAACACTCCCTTGAGAAGCTCTCATTTGTGTTTTTTCTATTTTTTTTTTTTTTTATTGCTTTTTTCCCCTTTGGGTAAAACAAGCACAGACATTGGGCCAGATTCATAGGCAGGGTAAATGGAAGTAATTTCCCGAAGCCAATTTACATCTGTTGCTTACAGTTCAGTTATTCCAAGTGCAGCCCCTTTGCATATCTTGCAGGAGCCCTTTAGCATTTCATTATAAAGTCAACAGAACTTTTGAATTACTTCAAGCAAGCAGCACCAAACCAGTTAACCAGTTATTTTACAGTATCTAAATAAAGGGGGAGAGAATACCTGACATTTAACTTCCACTACAGCACGAAGTAGTTTTATTTTTCCTGCACAAAAACACCAAACAAGCCCTTATAACTCTAGATCATTGCTTCTCATCTCATGGCAGTGAGTTCCACATATACACCACTACATGAGAAAAACCTCTTTCTTTCTGCACCTGACCCCTTTCCAGCTTTGTGTCTGATTCAGGAGATTTGATGAACAAGCTCCAGCTTCCCTTAAGTAAATTTTTTCTTTTCTTGTCAATGCCATAAAGAGTTTTGGAAGCAGACTATTAGCAGCAAGCTGTCATAAAGATAATAACAAGAAGGAAGAAATAATGTTGACAGTTCCTGTGCTTTTCCCAACCACTGGTGCTGGGAGTTTTCAGTTATTTTGATCAAGGCCAGCAATAAAGCGAACCTTGCTTCCAAAAACAGGTCAGGCAGCAACACTAATGGGCTCCTTTGGGACATGAAAATTTTTACTCCTACTTTCCCGATTGCCCAAGAACAAGCGTGGTCTGTGCCACTGTGTTAGCCTCGTAAATACCTGCTGCCCAAGCATGGGTTTTGTCATCTCTTGCACAGATGTCAAATGAGGACTGACTCCTCTCACATAAGTAGTTCTCTGCCAACATGCCTGACATAGATTTTACCACTAGATTACAGAAGAGCTAAAAGTAAGGGTGAGACAGGGAAATAAGTAGTCAGCGCTGAGCCTCGCTGTGCCGCCTGCTGCTGAAAAGGCTCCTGCAGCTCACTGCTCTTCTCAGCACACAGAACTTAGTGCAGCTTCACTCACGCAAAGGAATCCAACACCACAAGAGCTGGAGAGATAGCTCCTGTCCCACCATGCCTTCCACCACCCCAGTTCTGCAATCATGCTGCCACTTGTTGGTATTCACCGCTCCACGTTCAAAGTCAGCCATGGCATTTAGCAGGGAGGGGGGAAAAAAAACAATCAGGATAATTTCTTGATGAGAACAATTCTCAGCAAAACAAAAATTAACATGAAACCTGGCTATTAGAGGACAACTGGATCTTTGAGAAATGAACACAGGCTTCTGGACAGCCTCTGTTCTAGTGCAAGCCTGTACATATCAAGTATCTGTGTTTGACACTGAGGTTACATTAATCTCTTTCGGGTAGTAAAATCCAGCAATTCCTGTTAGTCTCAATATCTTCCCCAGATTTTCTTGTAGAGCAGAAAACAAATAATGACATTGCCAGAGCACTTGCAGTTCCTTCGAGTTTTTTAGGTTTGGTCAGTTGAAATAATGAGAAGGGAGGGAGGGAGCAATGATGTGGGATTTTAGGGTGTTTCTTTTATTGGTGTGATTAGTTGTGCAATACAAGCTCTGGATAGTTTCAGAAAGTGTATCCTGGCTGAAAGAAAGGCAGACAAAATGAAAGGAAATTAAATATGGGTGTGAAATTAAACCAAAAGAAAGTAAAAGAACAGGAAAGCAAAGCATCTACTTGGGCTGAAAGAGAAAAGCTGGAAAACAAGACACAGCTCCCTAAACACTCAGAAATATATTTAAAAGGTTTCCTGTAAAAGCAGAGAGTTTAGGAAACTCTGAGTACATTTAACTGCATTCCCTGATGAAAGAAAAAAAAAAATCATAGTGAAGCCTTCACACACTGTTCAAACTGGCGATTTCGATGAGAAGTCTGAAGCAAAAGCAGAAGTGTGTAGAACATGTCTTATTTCACAATACCTGGGAGAAGAAAGAAAATCAAAATTGGTTCATCCCCCAACAGAACATGCTGGGGACGGTAAAGCTACCTTGTTTTTTCATCTTTGGCTTGAACTTGGGCAGAAAAAAGTCTCTCTCTCTCTCTCTCTGAGTTCTATGTTACTTGACACAAAATGGTCCTTTCCCACCTCTTCACCAACGGTGCAATCGTATGTCTGTCACCACATATCAACCAGCTCTAATTCAGCCTGGAATTTATGCTGATTAAGGCAGAAATCTTGTGCTTCTGAACCTGATCTGTGTTTGCAGTCTCTTGAAGTTGGCTCCTCGTAAGCCCTTGGGCCAAACTCATCATTTGCAGAAGACCAATGATAGGAATATAATGGGTACATTTTTTCCACAATACAGCTGCTGTGGACATTTTACTGCAGCATGTAAAAGTCAAACAAAGCACATTTTCTGCTGGACGATCTATTTTTTGTTGGAACAAAGCTGCTCGGTTCCAAATCATGCCAACAATCCATCCTTTCAAGCTGCTCTACGGTAACGCAGCTACGGATATTGAGATGGATCTGATCCTACAGTGCTAGGAGCACACACGGTTCTCCCCTTAGCAAGCTATGGTACCATGACTTCCTTCAGCTTCCAGCTCCTGGAGTCAGCTGAGCAAAAGGAAAGATTAGCTTACATGTTTTTCCCCTCCCTCCCTTACAACAAAACATCTTTAGGTGAACAGAAAGGTCAATTTATCACCTTTCACTGTCCTCATTTGTTAGCATTTATAACCTGGAGTATTCAGATTCATGATCTGTTTTTTTAATTCCTGGAGTTAGAATCTTATCAATTCTGCCAACATTAATGCAGTTTCTTCAGATTAATACTACAGCTGTTATCAAAAGCACAGTTCAAAAACACTTTTGTGTACAACCTATTTTCCCACTGGAAATCTTCTGCTTTCCTGTTGTTTTAAAATCCACTGGTGTTGAGATGTCTCTCCCTAAATGTGCTTTTACTTATGCCTTAAATCATTTCCCTGCTCCATCCTGGTGTTTTATAGGAAGAAAACTGATATTACATATGAATCACAGAATAATGTGCCTCCTACAAAAGACATCACTCTATTAGGAACACATTTTAAGTGGCACATTTACCGTGCATTTAATTTTCATTTACAGTACGTGCTCTACATCCAGCACACTGCCTGTATCAGTTTTACTTTTCATAACCTATTCCTGACACCGAATACAAGCTGCGAGTGCTGCTCCAGGACTTGGCAAGAAGGAACAGGTTGTGGATGAGCAGGTTTCTCTGACTCACCTACACGGATCAACAAGGAAAAATAAAAGGGAGAGCGTGGAGATTGCAAAGGGAAGAAAAAACAGAGCGTGAGGGGGGAGTGACGTGTTTCTGTGGATGCGGTGTGTAATGCAGCTGGCAGCCTGCCTGCTCCGAGTGCCACTGAGTTCCAGACATGCCAGCCCGGCTGACTCAGCTCTTAGGAAGAAGGAAAGAGGAGGGAGAATTTCACAAACGTTTCTGATTGCCAAGGGACAGAGGTTGCTGGACTCCCCTCGAAGATTTTCAAAGCTATCTTTTGCTTCGGGGATTCGACTGGTGTCCGTGGAGAGGTGCAAGAGAAAGATACTCACTCCCTAATCTCATACAGAACTGCTGCTACGGCTGCTGGAAACCCAGCAGCACAGCTCCAGCCCACAAAGCAAGAAGTGTCAGCCTTTCCTGGCCAAAGCTAGCTGCTCTTAGACAAGCCACTGTCTCCAAGGAGACCAGCAAAGCGCATGCAGCTGAAGGGTATCCAAGTGAGCGAGAGTCTATGGCCCGTGTCGCTTTTCTATATAAAAATTTCATCATCAGTTTCTCACCACTGCATCCTTTATGTGTGATTTATTTACTAGGAATAGCTCCAAGCCCTTAAAGGGCTCTGCCTGTCTGCGAGAGCCGCTCTGTCCCGTGCATTTCAGAACAGACCAGATCCTGCTCGGCTGTGGGGGAAAGACTGTGCTTTTCCAGGCTTCCATTCCTAACTGAGAAGAGGTAGGAGCAAGAAAATAGCTATTTTCTAGCACTAAGTGCTGCAACACAGGCAGGCTAAGGCCCTGTGTCAATAGGCATACGCAGCCCCTAATTCTCATTGAAATCAAGCAGACCTCAGTGCTTTTGAAGATAAGAGCCAACGTGAGCTGGGCCCAAAATCAGCACTAGGAACTGAGCTTGCCTTAATTCCCTCATCAGGATCCTCACCACAGGCTTGGCTCTAAGCCTCTCCAGAGCACATGAGAGCATTCAGGCTGGCCTGAGTTCCCCCAGAGGGGACGGAAGGACACGTGAGGGGAGCAGTTCCCCCATCCTCCACCCTGATCAGCTGGCTCTCCAGACAGAAGGAGTCTCAGGACAGCAGCATCTCAGTTGCCTGGCCCCAGAGCTCCTGCTCACCAACACAGCCCCTCCAACTGCTCACACACTCTTGCATACTTAACTGAACAAAAGGAGCAAGGTGAAGGCACAGGCTTTCCCAAAAGGCAATGCTGTGCAGCACACAGATAACTGCGTGGCTGGGGAGTGCCCTGGCCGGGTGCTCTTTGTCAAAGTTTC